CAAAAAGACGCGTCAACCTCCTCAAGCTGTGGAGTCTTGTGAGCAAAAATTCTACTCTGTGAGCTCCTGGCATTAAAGTTGTGAGCGAGCAATTTGGCTGCTGCGTAAATTAGTTTGCTCTGGAGCCCCATCCTTCCTGAGCTGAGGCAAAAAATGTGTGAGCCGGAGGCTAAAAAACTGTGAGCTGGCTCACACCGACTCAGCTTAGAGGGGAGTTAGAGAACACAGGAGATGGGGGGGGGGATCATTGCAAATTTTCTCTGGAGTAGACCCCTTTTGTGTTTTTGGATCCACCTAGCTTCCCTGCAAACTCCATCCCATGAAGCCACTTTGCTTACTGAATCAAAGCTTAGAACAAAGTTTGAGTCCAGCGGCACCTTTAAGTAGAAACTTTCATACGGAGCTGCGGTGGCTCAAGTGGTTAAGATGCTGAACTGCAGGCTGTGGAAGGTCAGTAGTTCAGCAGTTCGAGACCCGAGTGTGCCGCATGAGGGAGTGAGCTCCCGTCTCTAGTTCCAGCTCCTGCCAACCTAGCAGTTCGAAAGCAAGAAACTGCAAGTACTTCGGTGGGAAGGTAACAGCGTTCTGTGCGCCTCGGTGTTTAGTCATGCCGGCCACATGACCACGAAAACGTCTTCGGACAGCGCTGGCTCTTCGGCTTGGAAACGGAGATGAGCACCGCAACCCTAGAGTCGGACTCGACTGGCTTTCGAGCAAGGGAACCTTTACCTTTACTTTAGAAGCTTTCATAGAATCATAGACAGAGTTGGAAGGGACCTCCAGGGTCATCTAGTCCAACCCCCTGCACAGTGCAGGAAATTCACAAATACCTCCCCCTCCACACACACACCCAGTGACCAATGTTCCTTCTATGCTGTGGAGTTTCTCGAGCAAAAATTCTACTTTGTGAGCTACTGGCATTAAAGCTGTGAGCGAACCATTTGGCTACTGCATAGATTAGTTTGCTCTGGAGCCCTCCTTCCTGAGCCAAGACAAAAATGTGTGAGCCAGAGGCTAAGAAACGGTGAGCTAGCTCACACTAACAGCTTAGAGGGACACTGCCAGTGACCCCTGTTCCACGCCCAGAAGATGGCAGAAAACCCTCCAGGACCCCTGGCCAAACTGGCCTGGAGAGAAATGGCTGGTGAGAGAAATAGACCAGTGACTAAGCAGAGTCAGTGTGAGCCAGCTCACAGTTTTTTAGCCTCCGGCTCACACATTTTTGTCTCCGCTCAGGAAGGATGGGGCTCCAGCGCAAACTAATTGATGCAGCAGCCCAATCGCTCGCTCACAACTTTAATGCCAGGAGCTCACAAGGTAGAATTTTTGCTCACAAGACTCCACAGCTTAGAGGGAGAAGAACCCAAAGTGGCGATCGGCATTTCCCTGGGCGTGTAAGAAAGGGGCCACGAGAACTGAGGCAACCACCCTTCCTGCCCTCCCTCTCACAATCTGCCTGAGTTCACAGAATCAGCATGGCTGTCAGATGGGGCCATCGGGCCTCTGCTTGAAAACCTCCAAAGAAGGAGGTTTTGCATGCACATTTATGCCCAGAATAAAAAACTGTTGTTCTCTAATGTGCCACTTGGACTCAAAACATTGCTCTGCTGTTCCAGACCCCAGGGCCACCCCCCTGAATCTATTCAGATCCAGTTTGCTGTAGTGGTGAAGTGCGCGGACTCTAATCTGGGAGAACCGGGTTTGATTCCCCCACTCCTCCACTTGCACCTGGCTGGATGACCCTGGGCAAGCCATAGTTCTGTCAGAGCTGTCCTTGAAAAGAGCCGTTTCTGTCAGAGCTCTCTCAGCCCCACCGACCTCACAGGGGGTGTCTGTCTCGAAGGGAAAGGAGTTTGTAAGCCACTCTGAGACTCCGTTGGGTAGTGAAGGACAGGGTATAAATCCATCCTCCTCCTCCTCCTCCTCCTCCTCCTCCTCTTCTTCTTCTTCTTCTTCTTCTTCTTCTTCTTCTTCTTCTTCTTCTTCTTCTCTGCAAGCAACCTATTACAATTGTACCAGGAGAAAAAAGGCTAGGGCGCCTGACAGTGTTCCCTCTAAGCTGTGGAGTCTTGTGAGCAAAAACTCTACTTTGTGAGCTGCTGGCATTAAAGTTGTGAGCCAGCGATTTGGCTGCTGCATAAATTAGTTTGCTCTGGAGCCCTGTGAGCAAAAATTCTATTTTGTGAGCTGCTGGCGTTAAAGTTGTGAGCGAGTGATTTGGCTACTGCATAAATTAGTTTACTCTGGAGCCCTCCTTCCTGAGCTAAGACAAAAATGTGTGAGCCGGAGGCTCAAAAACTGTGAGCCAGCTCACACTAACTCAGCTTAGAGGGAACACTGGTGCCTGAAGAATTAGAGTCTATTCTGACAGCCAGTTTGGTGTTGTGGTTAAGAGCGCGGACTCTAATCTGGGAGAACTGGTGCAAGTGGAGGAGGAGTGGGGAATCAAACGCAGTTCTCCCAGATCCACCTGCCTCACAAGGTGTCTGTTGTGAGGAGGGGAAAGGGAATGGAGATCGTAAACCGCTCTGAGACGCCAGGTGAAGGGACACGGTATAAATCCAATCTCTTCTTCCTCTTCGTCATTCCATTCCTACTCCACCACTGGAGACCTGAAGCGGCTTACATCCCCCCCTCCTTTTTACCCTCACAACAGCCCTGTGAGGTAGGGCGGGCCAAGAGTGTCTAGCGGGCCCCAGGCCACCCAGCAAAGTGTGTGTTGGAAACAGGGTCTGTCGGGAGACGAGCGGCGGGACAGTCTGAACACGGCACCACGCCGGCTCTCGACAAATCTCCAGGCATTTCCTCCGGCCACACAGGGAATCCCTCCCGTGGCTGGAAAGCCGCAAGAGACGGGAATGTTGTCAAGATGGTCTCCGGCAGGCGCCCCCCCTCCCCGAACCCCCCCTGCCCACTCCTCCAGGCCAGCAGGCAGAGAGCCCTGGGAGGGGATTGGAGGGGGTGGCTCGCCTTTACTTTGCAAGTAGATAAATAGGTACCACTCCGGTGGGAAGGTCACAGCGTTCCGTGCGCCTCGGTATTTAGTCATGTGACCACGGAAACGTCTTCGGACAGCGCTGGCTCTCCGGCTTGGAAACGGAGATGGGCACCGCAACCCTAGAGTCGGACTCGAGTGGCTTTCGAGCAAGGGAACCTTTATCTTTATGGCAGACAAAGAGAGCCTGCGCCCCCCCCACCCCACCGCCCCTCAGCCACTGGCTGTGGTGAATTCCCAGGGAACCGTGGCCAAGGCGGTGCCTGCAAAGGCTTCTGGGATGACCAGCAGATACTCGGGGGGGGGGGCCGTCAGCCACGGACTTGATGGGGAAACGGTTCTCTGGGCGGGCCTGCCGTCCCAGGAGGCTCTGACAGGCCCCGGTCAGCAAGGCCGGATCCTGCTTCCCGCGGAGAGGCAGTGGGAACACGCCAGGCCCTTCTACCGCCAACAGCTGTCCGGAGGGGGAAGTTTGGAGGCCCGTCCCGCAACTGAAACCTCGAACCACGGTAGAAATGGCGGCCGGGCCCTCTTTGCTGTGGGAAGAGCACAGACCGACCGGAGCAGGTCCGTGGGGCCGAAGCGGAGCCCCCCTCCCCCCCACCAGCTAGCCAAGTTAATCCCCTCTGATGCGCCACACCTCTTCCCAAGCACACCCCAGTAAGCCCTTCTGCAAACACTCATTAGTGCGGCCGCACAGGCGGTGCAGCGCCTCATCGGCTCCCCGGATTAGCAGGGGGCGAGGACCGCCAAGTCCCGGACACCACGAAGCCAAACCCCCCCCCCGTGGCCAACGGGAACCAGACTGGCACCGGACAAGACCCCACGCATGCACGACCTCCCTGTCGTGCGGGAAAGACACCCTGCGTACCACCTGAGGACACTGCGCTAGTCCAAGGCCAGGCCTCTGCTCTGGAATCAGGGCCCGGGAGTGCTGGGTGGCACAAGGCGAACCCTGCTGCTGAAAATCCAAACACTGGATTGGCGTTCTCTGAGCCCTCACTGAAGTGATGCTTGTGGGGGAAACAGGAAATATGTGAGAAGGAGAAGAAGAGGAGGAGGAAGAAGAAGAGGAAGAAGAGGAAGAGGTGGTGGTGGTTGGATTTATACCCCACGTCCCTTCACTACCCAAAGGAGTCTCAGAGCGGCTGACAAACTCCTTTCCCTTCCCCTCCCCACAGCAGACACCCGGTGAGGTGGGCGGGGCTGAGAGAGCTCTGAGAGAAATTGCTATTGAGAGAACAGCTCTGACAGAACTATGGCTTGCCCAAGGTCATCCAGCCAGGTGCGAGTGGAGGAGTGGGGGAATCAAACCCGGTTCTCCCAGGTTAGAGTCCGCGCACTTAACCACGACACCAAACTGCCATATATATGAGAGGAAGAGGAGGAGATTGCATTTACACCCCACCCTTCGCTGCCCAAAGGAGTTTCAGAGCGGCTCACAAACTCCTTTCCCTTCCCCTCCTCATAACAGACACCCTGTGAGGTGGGTGGGGCTGAGAGAGCTCTGACAGAAACTGCTCTTTTTCAAGAACAGCTCTGACAGAACTTGTGGTTTGCCCAAGGTCATCCAGCCAGGTGCAAGTGGAGGAGGAGTGGGGAATCCAACCCGGTTCTCCCAGATCAGAGTCCGCGCACTTCGCCACGACACCAAACCGGCACCCCAAGCAAGCACTACAAATAACATTTAAAAAATGGAAGTCGTGTGGCCTTGGTGACAAGTCAGGGGAGAAGGACCCCAAGAGGCCCCACCATAGCTACGGGCCTGGGAACGGACCCCTCTCTGTTCATTCCCTCTCCCCTTGGCTTTGGAGACGGCAGCGGCCTTTCATCAGTAGCTCGGTGGGGAAAAGAGCTCAATTTTCATCCGCAGGCAGACAGGAAGGGACGGGACGGGTGCAGTCGTTTGGACAGAGAAAGGCATTAGAGATTGCCTCTCCTGCAACCTTCCCCTCAAAACCGAGGCGCCTCCCGTTTCTCTCAAAAATCCGCTTCTCCGCAGGTTTCAAAGACTCATTTATTTGAAGTTCTACCTATCAATCAATCAATCAATCAATCAGTCAGTCAGTCAGACAGAAGACGGACCAACCACAGCCTTCTGCTCAGCGATTCAAGGTGGCTGGCTGGTCAGGCAGAAGCCCCCTTTCCTTGACGGTGGACATCCGGGCCGGGGTCTGGCCTTCGTTCCGGGCCGCAGCCGCCCTCCCCCCTTCGCAGAGAACCCAGGAGTCCGGCTTCTGGCTCCTCCCCTCTTCCGCCGAAAGGCACCTGCCCCGACTTCAAGCGGCGCCCAGGGCGGCGTTTCCACCGTCCTTCCTTCGCGGGGCGTCCAGGAGTGTCATCCCAAGAGTCTCACACTCGGAGTGTGTGTGTGAGGGGGCTCCAGGCACGGATGCGTCAGATGAAGAGGCCTCCTTTGGAGAAACAGCAAAAGAAAGGGAGAGGGAGATTTCAGAGGAAGCCCCGCCGGGCACGCCACAATCAGATCGCCAACGGTTCGGTGGGCATTTCTCCTACTGGCCTCTCTCACCCCAACCTTGCCACAGTAATCCACACAACAGCCTCCTCTAGGCTGGATTACTGTAACTCGCTTTACGTAGGGCTACCCTTGAAACGGACCCGGAAGCTGCAACTGGTACAAAATGTAGCGGTGCGGATCCTTACTGGGACCCAGGGGTCATTTCATAGAAAAAGAGGTGCAGGAGCTCATTAGCATAACTCATTTGTATATGCCACACCCCCTGACGTCACCGGACGTGTGTCAGAAGGCAACACCCACCGCTCAGGCTCCACTGGACTGTTTTGGATTGGTAGCTATTGGGG